AAGCAGGCGCCATCGCCTCATCGTGGTGTTCAAAGAAAATACCTTAAAAGGCAGTGCGTTGGTCGTGGCTTTAAGCTCAGCATTGGAAGGTAGCGCTTCGCAATTGCTATCTCAAGTGTGCTATGCTGATATAACCTGGCTCGAGTTCAAGGAATTGTTCATACAACGTTTTGATTCAATAGAAACACCAGCCGCTATGTTTCTAAATATTTTAACAAAGCGACCGACTGATGGCGAGTATCTCGCAGTGCACGCCAGCCGCATGGTAACCGAGTTAACGTCGAAATGGCGCAAAATGGAAAAAGAAGAAATTGCCGTATCCGTGACTCTTGCTGTGCTGGCAAATTTCGATAATCGCTTGCAGCGTTTGAGTTTCACATCAAATGTTCGAACCCGAGGCGATCTACAGTCAGAATTAAAAGCGTTCACATTCAATAAAAGAAAAAGTGGATTTGTTGAGCAGCAATCTGAAGGCTATCCAAAAAGGCAAAAGCAATCCTCGATAGAGTGCCATTTTTGTGGAAAATTAGGCCACAAGATGTTTGAATGCAAACTGAAGAAGCAACAACATCACCAGGCGAATGACAAAGAGCGACATGGCAGACACGATGTACATCGACGTGACAAAGCAAATGTTACTTGCTACAAGTGCGGAGACTGGGGTCACATATCCACCCAGTGTACAAAGAAGGAAGCTGAGAAGAACAAGACATTCAACCGGGAAAAGCGAGTGGAACAGTGCAGCGTTGCAGTACCTAAAGGGAGCATGAACCATAGAGGCCTGGAATATGTAGTACAGTACAAGTTCTAAGTAACGTAAAAATTGATAATAATTATATTGAAATTTTGTTTTATGTAATAGGCGATGATCACATGCAAAACGATATCGCCATTGGACGTAAAATACTAAAACAGGGTTTTGATATTGTCATATCATTAGACAAAGTTACGATTTCAAGAGCCAAAATAATTAATTTGTGAGCCAGCTGATATTGATACAGAACTTGACGGAGAAAATAAAATAAAACTAAATTCATCTTTGGCAAAGTACTCAAATGTTTTAGCAAAGGAATTCCGTGCAGTAAAGTTAAAGTAGGTGAAATGAAAATTAGATTGATCGATCCTAGTAAAACTGTTCAGAGAAGGCCATACCGATTAAGTCCATGCGAGCGAGATTTAGTTCGAGGGAAAATTGAGGAGCTGTTGAGGTGTAATATAATAAGGCCAAACTGTTCACCTTATGCAAGCCCTATACTGTTAGTTAAAAAGAAAAATGGTTCGGACAGACTCTGCGTTGACTATAGAGAGCTTAATTCAAACACAGTGGCTGATAAATACCCGCTGCCACTTATACAGGATCAAAAAAATAGACTTCGAGGAGTTAAATATTTTACGTGTCTAGATATGGCCAGTGGATACTACCAAATTCCTATGGATGCTAATTGGATAGAGTACACAGCGTTTGTGACGCCAGATGGTCAGTATGAATTTGTGTCTATGCCATTCGGGCTTAGAAATGCGCCTTCTGTTTTTCAACGGTTCGTAATCCAGGCGTTAGGGGATTTACCGAATTCTTATGTTATCGTCTATATGGATGACATTATGATAACTGCCATAACATTAGAGGAAGCTTTTGAAAGATTGGAGATTGTTTTAAATGTTCTGACAGAGGCTGGATTTTCGTTTAATATTACAAAGTGTTCCTTCCTGAAAACATTGGTGCAATATTTAGGCTTTAGTGTCAGTGCTGGAGAAATTCGTCCAAACCCTCAGAAAATTGTAGCGTTAACAGCCCTTATGCCTCCACAATATGAAACATCACTTAGACAATTTATTGGATTAGCATCGTATTTCCGACAGCTTATTAAGGGGTTTTCGCAGTTAATGAAACCGTTATATTTCTTAACTTCTGAGAAAAATAAATCTAATTAGAAAGCAGAACATGGGCAGATACGGAAGAAGGTTATTTCTGTACTTACTAAAGAGCCAGTTCTTGTTATTTTTGACCATCTGAGCTTTTTATACATGAAAAATCTACTCGAGAGACTCGGACTTTAGAAAATTAAAATCACCATCTGATATATTTTTTAATGTCTGTAAATCCAAATAAGGTTTTTGAAGATATTTTTAAATATAATAAACAAAAACTAAAAATTAGAAAATTTGTTAGAAAAAAAAAAAAAAAAAAAACAATATATAAAGGCATTCAAAGAAGAAAAATAATACCAAAAAAACACATTGACATGCACACGTATACAAACAATACTTGTTTGAGATCAGATGTTTCTGCTGCCGTTCTCGTCCCGCTCTCTACCCAACAAGAGTTCACCAGCACAATATATAACATTTACATTTTTCGTGGTTTCGCTTCCCTGCAGTACCATTCATCAGTAATTCATAAACTATTCATCAACAGTCAAACAGGTGCTGTTGATGATCCATCGATGAATGTCCGTACAAATTACTGATGAATTTAACGTAGGCATGTCCTAGACTGTCATCAACAATTAATCAATGATTCATTAAAAAATTCATCAATGATTCATCATTGATTCATTAACAACTCAAAAACAATTAGTCAACGATTCATCAACATTTTATGACGAAAAAAATTTGAACTTGAAAAATAGAAGTCCCTGATAATTGGAATTTAAGCTTTTTATACCCTTGCAGGGTATTATAATTTCAGTCATAAGTTTGCAACGCAGTGAAGGAGGCACCTCCGACTATATAAAGTATATATATTCTTGATCAGGATCAACAGCCGAGTCGATCTAGCCATGTCCGTCTGTCCTTCTGTCCGTCTGTCCGTTTCAACGCAAACTAGTCTCTCAGTTTTGAAGCCATCTGAATGAAACTTTGTAGTTAGCCTTCTAAATACTCTCACTCGTATATATGTCGGAACGGGCCGGATCGGACGATTATATCATATAGCTGCCATAGGAATGATCGGAAAATTAAAAAAAAAAAAAAATTTTTACTCTTTCAGTTTTCAATAGAATTGGATCAAATTTGAGATATAGCCATTTTACTATACTCTACAATTATGCATAAAATTTTATGAAAATCGGACTACTATATCATATAGCTCCCATAGGAACGATCGAGAAATTAATACAATTAAATTTATAACTTTTTCAGTTTTCAGCTGATTTTCATCAAATTTGAGGTATAGCCATTTTATATAAGTCTTAAATTTTGTGTCAAATTCATGAAAATCGGACGACTATATCATATAGGTGCCATACAAACGATCGTTTGATGTGGAGCAAAAATGCAAATCAGTGAATGTAAAACTGCAAATATAATATGCATAGGTGAATGAAATGAAAGCAGGTATTACTTCATTGTTTTTTAACACAAATATATATAATTATATATATATATAATTTATATTGTATGGATTCCTATTCATAGAAGTTCTATCTGCAAGGGTATATAAACTTCGGCGTTCCGAATTTAGCTTCCTTTCTTGTTTAATTTAACCTTTGGCCAATTAAAATACATACATATATTACTCCAAACTCCTAAAAATTTTAAAACGCAAATATAAAAAACCCACGCCGTTTATTATTGAGAAAGGGAGAGTGCAAGAGAATCTATATGCTGATTTTTTCTGATGACAGGCCCACGCGTTTCGTCCTTTTTTTCATTACCGTTAGAAAGTGGCTCGATAGAAGTCGCTGTCGGATCGTTTATGAATGTTGATGACAGTGGTCTATTGATGACATGACCCTGCAGTAGAGCGTGTCATCAATAGACCACTGTCATCAATGCACTGACTGCGACTTCTACCGAAGCGACGCTCTGCCGACTGCGACTTCTACCGAATCGACCCTCTGCCGACTGCGACTTCTACTACGATGCTCTGCCCACGATACAGTTACGGCGGTAGCCTAAACGGCAGTCGTCGGCAGTACCATGGCCCGGCCGTTGAGAAATTTGTTGATGAAACATCGATGAATTGATGATGAAACATCGATGAATTGATGATGAATTTGTTGATGAATCATCGATTAATTGTTGATGATTTTTTATAGATGACAGCTTAGGACATGCCCATGTTAAAAAAATCAACAGTTTGTATGTCCTGTCATTGATGAAAAATCAACAGCACCCCCTTGACTGTTAATGAAACGTTGATTTTTTGTTGATCACAGGTACTGCAGGGCTGCGAACAGATGTTCACTCATTCACGCACACATACGCACTTGCTTGTTCTTGTGTGTACTCATATTATCAGGTGCATTCTGATTTTAGATATTTACGCTATCAACTTTGTGTAGTTGGAATAAAAAATTAGCCTCATAGCAAAACGTATGTATGGTTTTAATTCATCTCAATGACTCTATTGTCTTTTGTTTTAAAAAAGTGCGAGCAAAGTGACTTGGCTAATGAATTCAAAAACGATAGACTTACATAAAATATACTTGGTGACAAATTGAACCGATAACAATATACTGATCTAATGGCGCTGTGACAGTAATGCAGTTTTCATTCATAGGAGAGTTCATTAGAACAGTGAAAGAGACAACTATATGGTTTATTTTCCTCGGATTTCTTTTGTAATGCAACTACTGTCACATTGATTAAAATTTAAACAAAAGACTATCAACCTGGTGAGTGGGTCACTTGATTTTTTTTTTTCTTTTGTGAGACGTTAAGTAAGCGCTCGCTTCTGGTGATCCGTGGACATTTTAATTTGATTTTAGAGAATCGGAGAATTTATACGCGCTACGATCTCGAGTTTTCAATTATTCTTTCATCGGAATAAAAATAGCTATTGCTTGTATTAATTTTTTTATCCTATTTTAGTTTGATATCTTATAGGTGTTCAATATCGATTAGCTAACAAGGCACTCATGAAGTTTAAAAATTTTGATTCTGTTCAATACTGGATTTTAATGTGACATAACGAATCAAGAAGTAGAAACGAGACGTAAGTAAATATCGATATATACTTATTACTGGACATATTATACTATCGATTTCCAATGATATTGCCAGCTCTATGGGATATGCGAATTTATTTACTAATTTTAATTTTGTCAATTTATGTTTTTGCCTAATTCAGTGAAAATATCGGGTGGTTCTTTTAAAGCTTCTTAGATTTATTCATGATTTCGTGCTGTGGTCGTGTTTGTTATGTTTCTGAACTTTGTTACTGCGATGCAGACATACGACAAAGCTAGTGTATATTATGCGGCAGTGTTTTGGAAATTTCGACATTGCGACAAAAGTCATAAACCGTCTATGCTTTGCAGACCCTAAGTATTGCAAGAGCAAAGAAGGTATTAACGAGAGGAGCAAATACGATTATACATATTACAAAGGGCCTACAGCTGAAGCTTGGTTTACTGTGAATGCGACAGTACAGCTTGTCTCTGTGTCTTTGTGTGTGTGTGTGTCTATAGAAAGTGCGCACGTCAGGCTTGTCAGTAATGTCCAGAAGCAAATTGACCACTTTAGCGCACGGCGAAGGCATAAACATAACCGATATTAACACCAGTGGCAGCGACAATAGAAAAAACAGTGGCAATCGGAGGGGTACCCTGACACATCTTATGGAAGGACATGAAACTCGTGGTGTAACGGGTCCTGGTGAGGGAACTGCGGACGGGTTAATATCAAGTGGAGCGGAAAATTTACGACGCCAAGGTAGTCGGTTGCAGAGTTCCCGTTATGCTTGCCTTAGAAGCTGCGGAAACTTTCTCACATATTTGGTACGACTGCGCAGTACTCCTGATGAACTCGAGCAACGTTTTAAATCTAAAGAGATTGATAAGATCTTGGAGAAGGAAAAACATACGTTTCGACGTCAGGTAAGTCAGGATTATAACATATAAACATATGCAATTTAGCAGACAGTCCCTGAACTAAAGTTAGTTACTGAGCAGTGCTTACATTTAGGAACATCATTAGCGCGATATATGTATGTACGTCCAAGTAAAAGTACAAAACAGAGATAAGACGATTATTATAATCAATCTTTTCGTTAATTGGTATGAAACATTGTTAATCTTTAAAGAGGAACATTATATTAAATATAGTAGATTTTAATCTTATTATTTTGTGTGGCTTTCATATAGTTGGATTATATCCTTAGAACGGGTTTTCATAAAAAAAACCTACTTTTATGTGGTCTTTGGAATCTTGGCCTATTCTTCCAAGAGGACAGCTTTGACCTAATTTTTATTGGATGCAGCCCTCTTGCGAATAGCTAAACCCCAAATTACCCACAAGTTCTCAATGAAGTTAGGGTCTGGGATTGGGCAGGAGGGTTCACCACATAAGGGCAGGTTCAGATCACCCAGGTCTGCACAAGAGCCTGGCTTTTCATTGTCCTGGTAAAATCGGCAACTCCGCTCTAAGCCTAATTTTTGGATCGTAGGATTAAAATTTGTATTGTATAGCTCTGTCTTCGGTAGTTGCCATTTCGTCTGAGACCAAATGATCAAATTTAGCTATTCGTGAATATTTAGAAAAAACAATGCCACTGTAATTGAGCGTCAAGTACCACGCACATCGCAAAAAATTAATAACTCCGGTAACTTAAGGGGTTACATACAGTTAGAATTAAAAAAAAATAGATTTTTATTTTATTTTATTATCTTAATGTAAATATATTTAAGAATATACACAGAAAGTTTGATTTATTTCCGGTGAATATTTCCTGAGTTATAAGTAAATCTGAAAAGGCATTTCAGAGAGATTTCTATGTAAAGTGTTCCTATTTAAGTACATTCCAAACTTTAAACGTGTTTTTCTTAAATTGGTGTTTTCAAAGTCGGTGACCAACATATCTCGAAAACGGCTAGTCCGATTAGTCTCAAATTTTAACACGACCTTCTTAAATATATTTTTTATAAATTAGTCGAAATTAATCTTTCCAATAAATATTATATTTTTTATAAACAATTTAAGGCGAAAAATAAATTTTTTTGTTTGCGAAACTGCCATTTCGTAAAAAAAAATATTTTCTTATTCCTTCGATTATTTACTAGATTTGACATTACTCTAACGAAATGTGTTTGGTTTTTTAATTTCGGATGATCCAGTTCTGACATATAGTGGTCACCGCAAAACGTCTTTTTTAAGAGGAGCTTTCGGAGATCAGGTGTAACTCTTTTCCAAAGAAATATTTTTATTAGTTCTAACTTTTATAATACAGTTAAAAGATATTATAGTATGTATATACATTTTTGGATCAATTAGTTAAAAAGTTTCTTCAGAAAACACTCTTGAGACTTTATTTACTTATAGGATGATACTGGATAAAATTTGTTCGGATCAGAAAACTATATTTATCCTATATCTATCATAGTTACATAAAAATAATGTAATTTTAACTAATTCGAACGAATTCCTATAGTTTTCATTGAAAGAATAGAAATGTAGTGTTGTTTTTGCTTATAATTGCAGAAAAATTAATTATAAACACTTTTTAAGATATTCAATTTAATTTTGACATTTGTCTTACCTTAATGACTATATATGATCAATTTTATTGCATTTCTATCAGTTTGCTTTAGTATAAAGGCAGTGTTACAACTTTTTAATTGGCATTTTCATAGAAAATGTTGTGATATTTCACTATATACAAATAAAAAAGTATGAAATTCCCTACAAATCACAATAGGTCTCAAGGTGGGACTAGGTGGGACTCACCTTGTATAGCTTTTCAAAAATAAGCTTTCAATGAAAAGTTACATATTTTTGAAGGCATATTTTAACATGAAATTACAAAGATACCAGATCAACTTGAAACATTTCCTATTACAAAACAAGTACTTTAAATATCACTGATTCAATGTACGAAAAATTTGGTTCAGTTCGGCATGTTTGTTTTCGAGTTTTTGTAATTTTAAAATTATGATTTTTTTCTCAATTTCACTCTACTCGTTAGCTTGCGTACAAACAGCTGACATTAAAGGCCTCGTCCGCGAGAGTGGCGCCACCTATGTACATTTTGGGTATGCCACGTTGATGGTCACTCTATTTCTAATCCATCGAGATCAAAATCACTTTATTTTGACAACATCTAAAAAATGGGTTTTGATCAAGAAAAGTGGTCGCTGGAGCATAGTAAATCCGATATCGAAAACTACAGAGGGATTGCAGAGCTTACTTTCTGATTTCAGCGCAGCTGTAATCTCAGCATGGCTTTATGAAAAACAGATTAACGTCTATAAACCTTCTTGAATTTTGTGCTGTCATTAGAAATGTTTTCAAATTAAACCAAACGAACGTTATCTTCACCGATTACAGCATAGCCTTGACTCGGTAAGTCACCTACTATTACTAAAGAGACGTATGCTCTTGGGTTTCCCTGTTTTATTGACTAATTGGATTCCAACATATTTATCCAACCGTACTCAACGTGTTGCCTTTAAGCGCTCTCTCTCAAACCGGGTTCTTGCCACTTCTGGCGTTCCTCAGGGGAGCCACCTGGGGCCACTTCACTCAAATGTGATGATGTACGCAGATGACGTCAAAGTATGTTTGCCATTGACGATTTTTCATTCACATAAGCTTCTGCAAACGGACCTCAATAACATGCAATCCTGGTGCGCTAATAATCTCTTTCTCAACAACTCCAAATGCAAATTTATGTCATTTTACCGGAATAATTGCATCCACACCAATTATTCTATACATAGGTGCGAGCGATCTTGAACGCATCTATACGGTTACAGATCTCGGAGTCCTGTTTAACGACACCCTTAATTTTAATGACCACATTGGTCTAATTATTGTTCAACCTACAGGGGTTTTTGCTTTTGTTAAGCGAAGGTTTGTCCTATTCTTGAATACTGTTCGTGTGTATGGTCACCTCAATATGCGAAGTATTAAGACCTTATTCTGTTCCGAAACAATTCCTTTTGTGTTGCTCTACGAGGATTAAGCTGGGACCCACATCGTCGTCTTTCTTCATACGCCGACGGGGTACGACTTTTAAGCCTCCCCACCCTAAAGAATCGTCGAACCTGCCACGGGCAAATTTGCTCCACATACCTAGATGCAAATTAAGACTTTGTCCCTGTAAAGCCTTCTCGTCATTTCGTCCAATAGCCCTTAATATGTGTAAGACGAATCTTGACGAGCATGATCCTTTCCGTGTTCTATGCTCCATGCACAATAATTCATATTTTCTGTCACATGTTGAATTTTCCATCGAAACTAATGTAGGTACTAGGTACTAGACACCTATCCTTGCCTCTGCCCACCTGATGTGAGTCGGAGCACATCGTTAAAAAACATTCGTTTTTGACGCGCAGAGGTAAGGGTATAGTTTAATAGTGGCAGATAGATTGCTTTTTCTTTTTATAAATAAATACTGCATGGCCGGGATCACGAGTTTGAAATAACACAAGCTAAGCATTGGGCCTCATCAATCCTAAAACATAAATTTTAATAGGAATTTCGCAACTGGCGGGGACATCTGCCCTTAACAAACAATTTGTCTTCTTTAGTCGTTAGTCGTAAAATGGCTTAAGAAATGTTAAATTCCCAATTTAAAACAAAATCACAAAACAAAAAAAAAAAAATAATAATAATAATAATAAATAATAATATATATATATATATATATGATTTATATATATATATATATATATATATATTATATATATATATATATATTATATATATATATATATATATATATATGATTTATATATATATATATATATATATTTATATATATATATATATATATATATGATTTATATATATATATATATATATATGATTTATATATATATATATATATTGAGCTGGGTCTTTTGTTTGTATCAAAGCGCTGCAAAGTGCTGTGACTGTTTATGTTTACGATAAGTGCTTGGGTAGGATTTCTAAATATCAAGTGCGGTGACGGTTTAGGTTTACGTTAAAGGCTTGGGTAGAATTTCATAAATATCGAGTGCTGTGTAATTAAGTAAGGAGGCTGGGGTGTCGGGAGATGAATATGTCACTATATATATTTCTCAGTGTATTTTCTTTTCTAGCACATTCTGTCGGGCTTGTAACAAATACGCATTCCGACGGTGTCGTTTGTAGTTCTTTTTTGGAAGGCCCAAGCTGCTCCACTTTCCGTTAGATCTCGTGTCCAATCCTGCGGTACAGCAAAAGATGGGTGGCGGTACTTTTAAGAACACTTCAATACTGTACAGCTCTATGTACATGTGCAAATGTGTGTTATTGCTACCACTACAGGCAATTGTAATAAATACAGTATCTATCTTTATATAAATGGTGTCAATTATTGGTGTTATCACATCGGCTAAACAGATTTTGATGGATTTATTTTTCAATTGTTTAAAATTGTCAGGCGAATTTTGTTGTTGCTAAAAACAAAAGATGTTGACAACACACTGCTTACGTATACAGTTACATTAGAGAGCAAAATTAGTTGTCTATACTATTATATAAAGAGGTAATGTAAGTTTGTTTGTATGTATTGAATAGGCTCCGAAAGTACTTGGCAGATTTGAAAAATTCTTTCACTGTTGGAAAGCTACATCATTCCTGAGTGTTATAGGCTATATTTCATTTAAAAAAAAAATAGGCATCCTTACTAAAATTAAGATAACGTAATCCAAGGTGTTAAAAAAATATCAAAAATCTACCTTACATCTACCGCCCTCTACAGGCAGACAAAGCATTTCCTGTCAAACATTCAAAACATATTGAAATAAGGAATTGGAGATACAAATTTTATTTTTTTGTTCAGGTTCAGTAAGAAACGAAGTCATGCCACCCAAGAAGTCGAGTTTGGGTCGTCGTACTCGCAATACAAAAGCAAACAGACGTAAGATTACGA